GCGGGGAGGGGGGAGGGGTGGAAAAAGAGGGGCGGAGAACGACGAGGAAAAAATTCGCGACAAGAACGATGGAAAGCTCGAAAGCGCAGCGACGCGGCCGATAAAAGTAAGGATCGTTCGACTACGCATCGGCCGTATTTACTGCACGTCGACGAGGAGATAGATAAATACGAAAGAGGATTGATCGACGCCGGGACCAACCGGGCCGGAACGATTGGTTTCGCGATCAACGCCGGGAAATCGATGTTACAGAAGTGGTAGGCGATACCCGCCGAAACTTCCATCCAACTTATCGCGATTGTTACCGGCAACGTATTTAATTACCAGGGACATTTCGATATTTACGCGCAATCGGATGCGAAATTTCGGCAAAATTTCAGACCCCTCTCGAACGATATCGATTCCGGTGAGTCGGATTTCATGCTCTGACAAGAGTGACAGCCTATAAATTGCGATTTGATCGATGACCTTCAGGCTAGTAATAACTGCATGGCCAATGTTTGCCCGTGGGAATTCTAGAATGGAACTAGTTATAGACTACCAACCGGAGCCACCCCTCCGGCAGGAAGAGAGCAACCTAATTCCCGGCTGAGTTCGCTGCTAAGTAGGAAAATAAAAAGTTCTTTTAATCCACGCGATCCGAAGCGAGTTGCGCCGGGGAGACGGGGTTGGGGACAAGAACAAAGAACGTCCCCTATTACGGACAGGGGAAAAAGAGCCGAAGATCGTCTGTTGAACACGCAGTAAGCGCTATTGATTACGCGAAATTAAATTTCATCCTGCGCTCCCGCGCCACCGAACTTTGCCTACCTATCTCGAACAATTTTATCCCCGGCTCGAATCACGAAGATGTTCAAAGGCGGGCTAAGCCTGGGAAAAATTCGACTCGCGTATAACGAGCCAGCGAGCGAGCGCGTCCGTGCGACCGGCGGATAAATCACGGGAGGAAAGAGCGTGAAATTCGAGGGAAATCTAGATCGGGGGCACGCGTGATCGGGCGAATTTATTTAGCCGCGTATCCCGTTCGTGACAGGGACGCGAGACAGTCACGAGCGGCTTGGCCCGATCGGCCAACATCCACGGGATGTGATTTATTAAAGGACATTCCGCTGGTTTCTTCCGTTATTTCTCTCATTCCGCGAGCGACCGCGGTATACCGTTAAGCACACGGTGTTCCCCTAATCTAAACTATCGTAAAACCGGAAACGGTATAATTCCGAGCGAGGGCCGGCGGCTTTTATCGCGAGACACCGTCGTAAAAGTTTACGCCCCGTTCAGACGGCCAACTTCCCTTTTAGCCAAGTTCGATCGAGCTTCTTGGCCGTGTTTAATTACGTCGATCAAGGACCGTGTCTCGATCACGCTGGCCACCCTCTCCGCGATATCGCGACGAATTCGCCCTCTTCGGGGCCAACCCTGGCCGAGACCGGGTCAGACTAGCAGACGGAACCTTATCTATCCGGCCGATAGAAAGGGTCCAACGTTCTCGATTCGTCGAAAGCGTGGATAGGACCGGGGAGCTGGCAGTGATAGGTCAACCGATCCGTAGAATTGAACCTTGATCTACACCCCGAAGAACTACACACATGGCTGGCTTGGAACTGGGATATCCATCGATTGACATGTCCAACGGTCGAGTGGATCTGTTTACCCGCGGCCGATTCTCGTGGACGACATGTTCGACTAGGATTTAAACCGACGGGATTGATCCTGCACTCTGGACACGGTTAAACTCGGTCCTCCGTATCGTCTGTATGTACCGCGTTCATTTGATTTTCCAATTAAGTGCCCCTTGCCTGTGGCTCGTTAAAAGTGCAACGTCTGGCCCCACGGATATCAAGGATCACCGGTGAGCACCAAGGTCCTAGCGATCTCGAATCTCGAGAGGAGACAGCGAAGCGGAAGTGGGCCGGGCTATTTAAGAAATACGGCGCGATTTTGGACGGTAATGGCCATTACCATTCGTCACTTGCAAAAAGGGATTAAAGTTAGGGCCGATATTGGAGCAACCGATCCGACGATAAAACGGCCGAGATGATATTGGAGAGGTCGTGAATTTCTTAGTCGACGTGGCATGGCGAGGCGTGGAGGGATACGGTCGAAATAATCGTGTTACTTCATCCGTGATCTAGCCGGAGAATTCACCTGGAAATTCTAACTATCCATTCGGCTCGACATAATCCCGTCGCCCACTGTCGAATGCCACTTTGGCTAGCGGCAGAAGCTGTGCACCTGACAATTGTTAACAGAAGCGTATTGAAAGGATCAGCCTTATCAAGCTGCTGATTGACGTTTCATATCAAAGAACAGGGTCCAACGGTACAACGTTTCAAACAGCATATTCATCGATCTGTATTTCATTGATTAAGTGGAACAGCCTGGCTGCCGGAGTTTCTACTGACCATAACCCACCAGCCGCGCCGTTTTAATCGATAGGATTATTCTGTTCCACGCTTGAACTCACAATCTTGCCCACGACTGCTCCTCCATGGTGCTTGTTATCGATCTAATTTTCTTTACCACTCGACCGACCATTCGCTCGCGATTTCCTATACGGCGAGCCAACGAAATTCGGCCAATTTTTGAGCCAGCGCAATAATTAGAAACGAGATACATGCACCCGATAACGAAGCGTTTGTTCCAATCTAGGCATCGCGGCTATTACACCGAGCATTTTCCGTAAATTCCAACCCCTAGCGTATCGCGTGATTTTAATGGAGTTCGAAAATATCCTCGACAAGGTACTTCCCCGAGGATCAGCGACTTTTAGGATTCTCGACTTTACATCGGCAGGGAACTTTGAGAACGCATTTCTATGTTTTCGTAAATCCCAGAATCCAATTTCCCTTTTCCATCCCCCCTCCCCCCTTTTCTCCTCCTTTCCCTTCTTCCCTATTCGAAAAGTTTCCACCGATAGGACGTTGCCGATGATCAGCCCTCAAAGAAACGATACAGTTAATCGAAGAAGAGACGAACATCTGTAAATACTGGATCTACAAGAGTCGAACGTAGCTTGAGCAGAGTCCGGTCCTCGTGGTCTTCGTGTTCTATGAGGATTTAAACTAGGCGCACCCTCTCGCTCTCAACCCTCTCTCTGTAATTCCTGATCCGGATTTGAATTCTGCCGTATCTGTCGACTGCGCTGGGTTTCCCCGCTGAAAGACGTTTCCCTTCGTCTCCTACTTCGTCCTCCGTAAGCCATTTTCATTCGTATAAGACGATAAATCCTCCGATCAACCGGGGCAAATTGAAATACCGATATCTCCGTTAGAACAACTCGTCCACCGGGAACAATTTTTCCCCGGACACCTGTCAATTTTCCAAGTTTACGCAAACAGATTTCCACGCGTGTCTACCTTTTGTTCGCTTCATCTCCGCTTTCTTCCGTATCCTTTCCCTCGCGTTCCTGCGCGTCGGGTCCGATAATTACCGGTCTCTGTTTAATCGTCATCTAGCGCCGGTTGTATCATCGAATCCGATAGAAGCTGCGATAGGTCATGTATCGAAGCGTGATAAGAGTAATTTATCGGGTGCCACGATAATCCTTTGATACACGATGTCCGGAACATTTTTTCTCTCTCTCTCTCTCTCTCTCTCTCTTTCTCTCTCTGTGTAGCGCACTCTCTGCGTCTGCATGCTATCGAGGAATTACGATCCCGGTGAAAATTGACGATTCGCGCGGCGTTATCTTGGCCGTTCGATTCTCTAGCTAACCGCGAAAGAGATGCGGCGGTCAATTACGTAACACGCAGCCCCATTTCTGTCATTCCAGAGATGTGAGGAATGATCACGTGGGTGATGGTCGGGCTGCTCCTGGCTGCGGAAACTTGCGGCAGAAATGTCCTCTCCGGAAACGGAAACGGAAAGGAGGAGACGAAGCAGAAGGACGGACTGAAGGGAGTCACGGCGGAGGAGGAAGACATCTACCGTGGGTATCGGTGTCGGCGGCTGCTGGGTGGAAAGAGCAGGAAGAAAAGTGGAGAAAGGGCGGAGAACGGGGCAAACAGATCTATGATTTGCTCGACTAACTCGAGCTTATCCAGCCCTCTCGAATCCTGCAATCGAGCTCCACTAATCCTCCATCCTGGCTTTCTACCGCTTACAGATCTCGCTGGCCACTTTACCTCTCCCTCTCCCTCTGCCAATTCCCCACAAATCATTCCCCTCGATCTATATACACCTAGCCTGTAACATATTGTTCCGAAATATCGCCAATCGCGTGGCTGCCAAGCTTGCTAGAACGGCGACGCTATTTAGCCAAAATTCCCCGTTCAGCCGTGATTACGTTGCCGGAAAAATCAAAGGCATTCGCGTTCAATCCCGGCTAATTCTTTCGCGATCCCCCTACCAGCTCGGTTCCGGTGAAAAAGTTTGTATTCCATTAGCGTGTCGGGATAGAAAAGCTTTCCGACCAACGGCTATAAACTCTTGGCTATTCCGCGTAGCGGGAAACGCCCGGAAACAGCTACAACTCGAACGGTTGAAAAGTATTAATTACGACACTGGACCCAGGGGTGGAACAATACGTCGACGTACGCCTCCGGTGAACGGTACATTTCGTGGAAAACGCTTTTGTTGCCGGCATCCACGATGCCGTTATAAGTTCCATTCGACGGGACAATCCATTTTCCACGACGTTAAGTGTATTGCGACGGCGGAATTATATCGAAGGAACGCCTAAGCGTGTTTAATTGTTGCGTCTCTCCGCCCTTTGTCTCGTACTTCAACCGGTCTGGTGTCTCTGTGCAACGCTATTACTCACTCCATCGCACCCTCTGTTGTTGCAGGTCTAACGTGCTACACTTGCGTCAACGTCAGCGATAACCAGGTATCGACGACTCCATTAAACGCTGCTCTTAAGAGTCGGTAATGCCTGTATCGTGCCAGGTCCAGCCACAATTTCGTTTAGCCCCGAGGAGATCGTTTCGCCATCGACCTTTTACTTATTTTCAAACTACGTCTCCCTGCTTCGCCCGGCTTCCTTCTCATCGCCTCACACCCACGCACCCTTTTCCCTTTTTTCCCTTCTTTTCCCACCCTCTTTCACCCCACTTTCACTCTCTCTCTCTCTCTCTCTCTCTCTCATTTCTCCCGAGTTAGTGCCCCTGCTCTTCGAGTCGTGGATGTCACGAAGGAATTACCAATATCGGTTCGGTTGCCGGTTCCTTGCAAGCAACGAAGAGAAACACGTAACAGCTGGAAGAAGCAGAGGCGGCTGCAGGAGCCTCCGACGCCACGGATCAAGCCTAAGCACCTCTAAATAGCAGTTCCATCGACGGAAATCTGTATTGAAAATCGTTGATTCCGGCCCGATGGCCGGGGGGTCGATGGCCACCGCGAGTTCCGGCTAGTAGTATCTTTCCCCTTCGAGAATTTATTCGTTCGATCGTCGTTCCGGCGACATCGCCCTTTTCCTTTTTCCCTCGGCTCCTTTTCCTTTCCTTTCTCCGAGTTCGATAGTCCGTACACGGAACTTTATATAACGGCAACGCAGTCGTTGCGAGCACTTGATCAGAAACACCGAGTTCCCGGTTACATTTCACCCGTAGCATTTTCGCTACCCCGACTGTTTGTTTCCTCCACTCGAGAACCAACAAACTCTCTACTCTCTAATTTTTCTCCCCCAGTTTTGTCCACCCATAACGAACCACCACCCCGTGGCAACTATCCCCGAAAGTTTCGCGCGGATCGACCGATTTCTAGAGTAACGAGGAGATGACCAGGCTAATGCGTCGATCGCGATACTCGAACTCGAACGTTGCACGCTTCGATTCGAGTCTCGACATCGGCCAACCCTTTCTTTTCTTTCTCTTCCTCTCTGTTTGCAGATGTGCAACGAATGGGCGATAGACACACCGTGTCCGGCGGCCGACCGAGACTTCTGCAGATCGCTGCACATTTTGGACAGCCGTGGAAATAGCGTCTTGGCAAGCAAATTTTTTTTCTCTACACTTGACCTCCCCTCCCGCCCCCGCGGAATCGAGAGAGGAAGAACGACTGCGATTAACCGCGTCCGTTGCCAAGAAATATTAGAACTGCGCGAGGTTGGAACGTTGGCCGTCTGGATGCCTGGTGGTTTTCGGGCAGAAAGTCTGGCTCGTTTGCCTCGCGGTTCCAACGGGCACGAGTTTGCATAATTGATGTAATTTTCCATCGAAGGGGACTCTAAGTTGCAGACGCGACGAGGGTAGGAACGAGAAGGGGGAATTTTTCTGCCACGTCGGATTTCCGGCTCTTCTTCGTCCGCTCTCTCCCCCTCGCTCCCCCCCCCCCCCCCCCCCCACAATTTCGCTGGTTGATTCAATCGTGGCCGCGGTGCCGCGATAAAATCGACGCGTTCGACGTTTATCGCGAAACCATTGTTCGCACGATGCACGCACGAGCGATGAAGATCAATCCGAAATTTTATCGCTGCCCCGACTAATAGCTTTGCCCTTGCGTTCGTCGCATTATCGATTTCCGTGTTTGTTAATGGATAAACTTGCGCAAGCGAATTCACGGTGTAAGGGCGTCGGTGCAGGCACCTCTCGAGAGCATCCCACGACTAAGCACTTTCCAGGACTCTTTCAATTATGAATATCGGAATCAATTAGTACCTATCCGTTCACCTGTCTCGCGGACCCTCTATGCAACTTTGCTCGTTGATCGTTTAATCGATGCCCGGATAGGGTACGCGCTGGTGTGAGAAGATTCGCAGATGACACTGGATAATGCGTTTTCCTCGCGGGTACCTTCGCACGGGGATTCAGAGGTTTCGAGCTGCAGCGAAATCTCGGCGGTTTTTATTCCTTTATTTCCGTAAGTTCCCGAGCGAAGAGGGGAGAAAGGGCGAGGGAACGGCCGGAAAAGCCGTAGCAATCACCGAGATGAACATTCTGTATACGCGAAATCGAACATCTAGGAATTAAACGGAGATAGAAAGAGAGGCGACGTAGATTCTAACAACCGGGAATCGATACCGTAGTCGAACAATCGGTCAAAAAAAAAAAAAAAGAAAAAAGAGAAAAAGGGAAAAGGGAGAAAAGAGAAAACAGAGCCCCGGTGCATCGTGAAAGATTGAGAACGAACGCACCAACGATCGCATACGGAACGATCAGCCAACGAACACACTATGCCCTAACGCACAATGGTCCGCGAAAAACCGCGTTTCTATTTCAGGTGAGCAAGAGCTGTGCGAGCAGCGCGAAATGCGGTCCTGCCTCGGTCGGTTGCATCCCAATGGACACGCAGCAGGTGCGAAATAGCGAATTTTTCCAAGTACCTGGCTGGCTTTGCTCTCTTTCATTTACGCGCTGCGCGTTGGCCAGACGCGGGCCCGAGAAAGGGGGAAAGAAGCCGCGACGACCGGGTGAAATAAATTCGCTTATTTCGTTCCAGATCTGCATCAGCTGCTGCGACCTGAGCTACTGCAACATCGAGTCGCCGACGAACGCGACCAACGCCATTTTCTCGCGCAAACGGCGCGCCAAATCGAAGTCGAAGCGCAAACGACCCGGTAGAAACGGGGTCGAGGGCAGCCGAATCTACGGGGGCGGTACTCTCTGGCTCCTGGCCTCACTCTTCTATGCATATCATTGCTGAGGAAGCAGCAACGCGGAAGAATTCTAGTTAGAAGAAACCAGCCGTGCACCAGGCAGCGAGGGAACGATCCTCCGATGAGTTACGGATTCGAGGATACGACTTTTCTCCAAATCCTCCATTTCTTATCCAACCAACCGACTAATTCCACTCTTATTCTCTCTCTCTCTCTCTCTCTCTCGTCTTTTCGACTGATTGCATATCCTTTGATTATCGCGTGTACACTGTTCGCGTTTCGGCGTTTAAATTACGCGCGATAGAGTTATTCGCCGCGCGATCTACGCTTCTGGAAAATCTGTGTCCTCTATCGGCTTCCGCTGTCTCGTCTGTTTTTACCCAGGGCGCGGAGTAAATCGCGATTATCGCGGAGCGAGCGTGTATTTTTGCGGGCGCGAGATGGCGAAACGAGGAGGCTGCTCGTCTTTCTCTTCGTTAAGGGACCCGAAGAATAAGAACTCGCCGGGATCCTCCCGGTGAATCCTGCGCTGTCTGAAGCATGTATAGTTAACCGAGGGCCGTTTCGAAGACTCTCAGTGATGGAAAAAGGAATTGTTCTCTTCTCGTAGTAGCGTGTAGTTGCTATGCCTTGTTAGAAAACGAAAAATGAAGGAAAAACAAAAAATATGAAAATACACACACGAACACAGACACACACGCAAACACGGACACGTGCAGACGGACAGGGAGAAACTGTAAGCTGTAAGTCGGAGTTTACGGATGAAACGAGCGATTCTCGTCGTTACTTTCTACAGAGTTCCAGTGCCAAAGCAAAACGAGGAAAATCGAATACCATCCGTAATTTTACAAGCGGCGTTTAATTTTCGATCGAACACGCGAATGCCGATATATAAGGGGGAAAGCCCGTGTTGTTTTCCTGCGTTCGAGCCAGCTGATTCGACAGCCGGAATTTCATTTCGACCGTCGGAGAAAAAAGGAGACAGGAGAAATGAAACGTTCGCTGTTCCCTGCTGATTCATTCTGAATTTCAGTACCTGCCGGAGCAACGATCGATCGTTGTCCTCAAGGCACTTGCTTAGCGAAGCCGTGAATTCCCCGTACGATCCACGACCATACGTTTCGTTCGACGAATAGAGTAACAAACCGTTTCTATCATTCCCTTTCTACCGGTTTTCCCCACCCCCGTTCCACGATATTCCGTTCGACTTAATTTACTTACCGATCGATCGGCCAGTTGAATATTTAACCGGTCCTATGATTGAATCAACTTTTTCTTCCACTCCCGACGAATAAGGCCATATTGACCTAGCCGACTCGAAAGTTCTTAATTAATTGGCTTCCTTAATTAACAGCTACGAGTTCGAATAAATTGCTAATTATGTATTCCAGGCGAGAAGAAGTTCCTAATTACTCCGACGCGATAGTATTATTTCTACGATCTTATTTATCGTTCCTCGATGCTATCGCCTTGCGTTCATCGAATTACCCCTTGATTACCCTAATTGTCGATTTATTTAATAAACGCGAGTACGAGATCTTCGAGGATATCGTGCTCGGAACCATCCAGTTTGCGGGATTTACGACGGCGAATGGAAGACCGTGCGCTAAAAGCGAGATTAGGTTCATTCCGAAATCAATTTCCGCTCGACTCTTATCGTTCGATCGTCGAACAGAAGCAAGAACGTTCAGTTTTCGCGGATATCGAGTTTCTCGAGGGAAAAAAGTTGGAATACCGCGGCACAGCGACGTAGGCTGGAATTTGCTCCTGTGCGCAGTTTGACAAATAGATATGCAAATCGTGAATTACGCGAGCGAGGCGCACGCGGGATTTGAATTATCGATAAACTGGAATTACGCGTACCTAAAAGCTGTTTACATACCTACAAACTCGCCTACTACAGACTATTTACTGCTATTACAATTATTAACAATTATACACATAAATAAATATATAAATGAATAAATGAATATATATATATATATATATATATATATATATATA